GAGCTGGTTGATTGGTGTATTTTTCTTATCTGTTTGAACTACTTGTAACTTGTAAAGTAATCATAAAATTTGTTTTGTTTCATGTTTAGATCTTTTTGGTTTTTACCATGTAGAATACTTTGAACGACTAACAGTACAGTGGACTACAGTTATCCTGTACTTTTTGTTTTTAGCAGGCGTCCCTGCCCGTCTTAGAGTCGAGAGGCTGGCATGGCATCGAGTTTGAAGTTAGAGGAAGAGTCTGGTGTTATAAAGTCTGGACCAGTCGTTGCTGGATTTGCACCCATCAAGTCCAAGAAGAGCTACTACGCCGTACTTTGTGAACGTGCGCTGGAGTTGCACGAAAGCGAAAAAGCTTACCGAAAACACAAATCTGCCAGGCATCTCATTGATCTTTCGACGGCGTTCAACCTTCACAACGACCATTTCGATCCGAAACTCAAGCGATGTGTGTGCTTAATGGGTCCTGATGAAACTTTATGCTTAAGAGTGGATGACGGAGGCAAAGCCGGAGATGATGGGCGTCAGAATACCGAGTGGTACGACGCGATCATGTCAGCATTAATTCCGTCGAGAGCGTTACGACTCGGAAGACCGATACAACCACTGGAATTTTTTGAATGCGTTTGGGATGTCGATGTGGTCGGCATGCCGAAATTGAAGAGGCCACCACGCCCGGAAGATTCTCTCCAGAACATATGCGTCCGTCTCCCACAAGTTGCGGGACCGAAACGTTTGTGCTTTTACGCCCATACCATCATCCTCTGCAAACGCCGTATAGAGCCAGCTGTCAGTGGTCTGCCGCCATCCGGTATTCCACCTTTCAATTCCGAGGACTTCATTGAGATTCCACGTAAGTGTGTGGCTTTCTTCGGCTGTCAAGAGAGGTACTTTTTGATGCGATTAGGTAGGAGTGCACCATCGGGTGCGAGTGAATTATGGGCTCAGTGTGACAACGATGAAGTCGCCCTCGATATTCACAATAAGCTGAATGCGATAATTGAAAGAGAGTCGGAAAAAGAAAGGAAAATGAACAATGGCGTCACAAAACCTCCTGGTCTTCTGTCGCTTCGTTCGCATCAAGGGCACCATCGCGATCGTTGTCATACGCAAGGTTCGCAGCGAACACGCACTTCGTCTTTCCTTAGTGGACGGGTTTCCACATACTCATCTCACAGTACAATCGGCAGTAAACCGACTACGCCTTCTTCTCAAGCTAGTTCAACTCTTGCTTCACGTGCGTACAGCATCTCATACGGTTCACAAGCGCCATCAAAGATTCCAACACCGCCAGCAAGTTCGATGATGAGTGTATTTCCACAACGACAACCATCACAAGAAGATTTTGGTGTTTATCAAGCTATGGTTCCGCCGCCGTCAAGTACCGGTTCTGAGGCTTCACTCTCATCACCTGTCGACGCTTCCATTGCTTTAGATAGTCCTAGAAGCGTTATGCACGGTAAGGCCATGGAGCAAGTACCTGAAGAAGTTCCAGCTCCTCAACCAACATCGGCGCCGAATCGAAGTACGGACGAGACTTCGAAAACACCAGATTTACCAAGCAGTGATTATCTTATTTCCGATAATGGTTATACTCCTATGCATGCCGCTGAATGGACATCTGTTGGAAGTAGCAGCCATCTGATCATGCCTAGCCTCGATCGTTACAAACTCGAAGAAGTCCGTTCGTATGTATCGGATAGTAGCGACTACTGCAGTTCAACCGGCGTAGCCAACGGTTGCTCGGAATTACAAAGTCCAGCCAATCCTCCTCGTGCATACTCTTTTGCTGGAAGGTGCAATCTTCGTCCTACGACTACCAGCACTGGCATCGGAGAGAACGCCAACTTACATGCTGAGAACGCTTCCAACAGTCACCTGCAACCAAATGAAGATCCACGCAAAAGAGCCTTTTCCCTTGGCAGCAAGAATCTCTTCCAACGACCTTTTCGAAAGATTTCGCAGCCGAGGCAGCAGCGTGTTTCCCAGACATCTGCCTCCAGTGTATCGCTTGCCTCATCCGAATTTTCGTCATCTTTTGGGCCATCATCAAGTGCGAATCATCTATCAGCCATGTGTTGTGCGGAAAAGGACGACTATTTGCGAAATCGTTCTGGAAGCTTTGGTTCTGGACGTAGTACTCCACACAACCGCAAAAGTGCAGCGCCAGGTGAAGGAACGGATCACTTCGTTGAGATTGATTTTGGAAGTGGCATCAGACGATCTGGAAGCGGCTCCGTGGTGAGTGTAGACAGTCCAAGCAACTGCATCCGATCTCGCACCTCGTCATTTGGTTGCCCCGTTCGAAAAGATACTGAAATCTTCACGTATCCAACCGATGTCTCTGATGCCGAACTGACGCCCAGCCAGATTGTCCTCGAACAAGCCCGACAGAGCAGTATTGACGAGTCTTGTGATTACGTGATTCCGGTTGTACCTGATTTGGAAGCTGTGAAGAACGCCCTAGCCGAAGTGAGTGAACATGGACACCATATTGGTTTTACTTCACGTGTTGACCCAAAGACGATCGACATGCATAGCTCACAACATTTCGAGACTATTGAAGAAAGTGCATCGTTGAAATCGTCGGCCTGCTCTTCCAGAAGTTCCACAGCTGTCGACGACAAGTTGTCTAAGGAAGAAGAAGATAACGATGATTATGCCGATTTTGCCTGCCGCAAAAGTAACTTTGGTATTGGTTCAAAAGATCTCTTCGTCTCCACGGCGGAAGCTGAACGAACTATGCGCACTTCTCCATCTCTCAATTCATCGCTCAAGAGAACAAACGTCTTATCAAGTCGTTCTAAGTCGGTGGTAGGATTTACGCATAATGCTGCTGAATCAGGAAAACCTGTGCTCGATTATGCATCGATTAAACCAGTGCGGGCAATGTCATATTGAAACATCAGTTTAATAATTATCTCAGAGGAGTTAGTTTAACTTCCTATCTTCATGATGTTCTATATGACTTCTTTCTCATAGTGATTTTCTCAAATCTTATTGTTACAAATGTGTCAGCGTTCTCATCTTTCTCCCCAGTGATATAACGGTGTTGTTGCTGCGCTGGTCAACAATGTACATAACTTGCCATTGACTTAGATTTTTCTACAATACGAATCAGAATTTTTATAACTTGAATCTATATCTTGATATCTAGAAATCTGCTTATTTTGCAGTAGTA